AAGTCAGTGTTTGTCTAAGAGGGTTTTTGGAAGCTGGATTGCTTTGGTTTGCATAGTAGCTGTCTCTGGCATGATAGATCATGCTGGAACTCACCCAATAAGTATCTCTGTTCCCAATTAGAACTGGAAATGGAGCTGCTTACGAGTGCACAGAGATGATGGCTTGGGTGGCAGCTGCTACTGTGGAGATGGAAATGATCCATTGTAAAACAAATACATTGCACTGTATAGAAAAAAGGATGGTTGTTTTTAATTTATGTTTCAAAGAGACACTGAAAAGTTGCTTAGCTCCCAATGCATTGTGAACCAAATGTAGTGTATTTAAGGACAGGAATTTGCAGCTATTTTGGTGAATCAAAACTTGAAAAAGCCTACCATTTTGTAGGATTTGTGAAAATGTGCTTCTTTTGGAGGCAGCAGTTCAATAGAAAACAGATACAGGAATGATGCTGGCATGGGTGCTCATTCAGATTCTACCACCACAGTGTAAGGACCTTGATAAATAGAGAGGTTGCTGCACTGAGCTGGTAAGCAGAAATAACCATATTAATTTAATCACTATGAAAGGGACTCTGCCAAGTTAAGAAACATAAATTTTAATTGTATGCACACACACATATTTGAATTGTAATATATGCACAATATTTAGCTGTGACACCAATAATACTGTGGTTTATTAAAACAGGAAGAATTCTAAAATAACATTTTATTTTTCATTGATGATTTTTGTTGATTTGACACTTCCATTTTGTATGGTTATATTTCCTGTATCTCCTACACCAACCAGGTGCTACTGCATTGCAATATTAATAAAAAGGAAATTTATCTACAAATTTTCTTAAAATTTATTTATAAAAGAGTAAGCTTTTAGTTATGTTTTTACTAGTAGTTATTACGTGTAATAAAGATTATGTTCTCTGAAGTTACAGTGTCTAAAGAAGAGCTTGTGATACAAACTAGGAGTTCCAATAGAAAGAATTTAGAACAATTAGTGGGTAGCAAATGTTACTACCTGTATTTAAAAAGGATTTGGATGTGATTGAAGGATTTAAAGACTCATAAATTCTGCAGAAACATTTGAGAAATTGATTGAAACAGTAATTAGGTATAAGCAGTAAAGCACCTGGGAAATGATGATATAGGAGGTTCTAACTAACTGACTACTTTTTTTTCCTACCAAGGAAAAGCACTCCTCATTACTTTCTTAGAATTCTTTTCATGGTATGTGAAGGACTAATAGATAAGGAGGTTGACAATTTATTTACACTTTCTGAATTTTTTGGTTTGTGATAGGCCTCCAAAGAGAAACAAAGCATTGTCTTGGATCAAAACTTTTAGAATAAAAGATGAAACACAGAAGACAAAATGAAACAAAGAACTTTAATTATAGAAAAAATCTAACAGCTGGTGCATCAAGGTTTGGCATTTGATCCAGTGTTGTGTAATATAGTAGTGAACAAGCTGGAGAGAGGGAGCACCTTGTAAACTACAAAGATAGTGAAATTAATTTAGTAGTAGTAGTACAAACGTTATTTAGAGCCATTGTGGCCAGGGAGGTCTGTGCAGGCCTCCTTCGGGAGATCTGCATGTGCTTGGTGAATGGATGGTGAGATGGACATTTTAATTTGTTACCTGTGTGTTTGAATGTATTACTTACAGGAAGTTCTTCTACCTGGTACAAGGTTCCTAATTCTGCTTAGTATGCAGCTTGTACACTGCAGGACACTGCTTGAGGAGTAGCGTAAAGAAAATTGTAATGCATTTGTTTAAATGGGAGATATGGTTTCATCTGAAAATATCAAGTGCAGTATTGGTTCATCTTGGGAACATTACTGAGGAATCGGAGGAAGTTCAGAGAGGCCTGACAGGACAAAGCCACATGGAAAACTTCCCACAGCAGAGTAATAGAAAAGATTGTAACTGTTTATCCTCGAAAGGAGAAGAATAAGAAGAAATGACAAAAAAATGTGGTCAGGAACTTCTGTTTTCCCCATGTCATAGCAAGAACAAGGGGGCAAGCAATAAATAAGGTGAAACACCCCTTTCAAACTGTAGTTTAGCTGTTGAACTCACTCAGGTAGCAAAACATTGAGGGCAAAAGTGTATCAAAATTCAGAAAGGGCTGGGCTATTCTGTGTATTCCCAGAAGAGACAGATTTAGGATAACTGGAAGTGATACTGCATTTACCCCTTAGGACTGACCTGTTAGAGATCAGGATGAAATGCAGTATTAGGATAGGTTATTTTATTTACATTTATCTCCTGGCAGATGCTCATATCTTGTTCTCCGAAGTCCTTTGTGACTGCACAGTATAGCACAACAAATATCAAAGCAAACAGAGGAAAGTGTAGGCTCATGGCTTTCTCAAGCCTAGAATAGTGTCCCTCTGGCCTTGTTTGAAGCTTCTGACATTGGCTGGTACCTTCATAAGCAGAACAGTGGCTGGAATGGACTTTGCTTCACTTCTGTGCAGCAGTTCCTGTGGTCTGGGGAAAGCCTTGATCTTTCACATGAAAACTACATTTCAGGTGTTGAGTTGGCTTCTCAGTTTTCTTTATGGTACAGGCATAAGAGAAAAAGATACTTTTCTAGCTTTTTTGGGAAAATCCTGAAGAGTTAAATAAGAAAGAGAAAATTAGGGATTTAGTGAAATTAATTTAATGATCCCTAGTAGTTTTTAACTATTTCTCTAGGTTAACTGGACTGTCTTTTAGATTTTTGAAGATATTTATCTCTGAGGATTCAAAAAGTGATTTAGAAAGATAATTTCCTGTCTTCATTACTGTATCTTTTACAGATTAGCCATCTTCCTTGCTCATTTGCTTTTGTAATGCATTCGTTTTCTGAGTGTATCGGTATCCAGAGACAGGAACAACTTGTCACAGTGAAGACATGTTTGTTTCCGACGCCCTTGAGCTTGCTTGAAACTTATTCTCTTGCTGAATGGACGATGACCCCTTGGATTTTGCAGTCCCATAAGGTTCTAAATACAGAGCAAAAGCCCTTTTGCACCTAAGCGTGGGACATTGAAATGAAGCCAAGCCCACAGCCAGAGATGATTATGGAGGTTCCTCAGTGACTTTAGATTCGAGTGTTGGGATTTGCACATAAATCGAGTCTAAAATCCCTTATTTCTATTGAAATGTCTGGATTTAGCATCCAGAGGGAGGTACTAGGAGCTCATATAGGAAAATTCAATCTGTATTCAGTTCTCTGTTGACTTTTCTGTCTTTTTTATAGCTTAAGTAAGAGAGGAGTTGGGGAAGGTGGTGTAATGGGATGGGTGTGCACAGCTTAATGCTGAAAACAGAGGCCTGGTTGAATAGACCTCCTTGTGATGAGAAGGGGGATCAATGCACAGTTGACCCTACCCCATTGTGTGGGTTGTCCCGGGAGTTTCCTTTGAAAATCCCAGTGGTTTGGGTTTTCTGCATGGTTTGTACTCAGTGTTTCCCTCCATGAATAGAATAGCTTTTGCTGGAATTTTTGCTGGATTTTCTGTGGTTATTGGCTGAGCACTGCTCTCTCACTTCAGAAGACTTGAGCAGCATGTTGTGGAAGGACTGATCAGGGACCCTGAATCATTTGCTGGCTTAGAGTTTTTCATATATAGAACAAACATATTTCTGGGATGCAACTGCCCCCAGGAAACACATTATACTTTACTGTCCCAAGTGGAAGTGTACATTCATTATTTGGATTGCAGGAGTGATTTGGGGCTCTAAAACACATGAATTTTTGCCCTGCAGAGTTTACAATAGAAAGTTTACAATAGTTTCTCATGGTGATAGAAAGGCAGGGAGCTTCAGGCAGGCTGGGGAACATGGCACAGTCCTAAAAGATAAGGAGTGGACAGAGCTGTGAATTAAGGACACCAGATGCTGATTTGTGAGCATTGGTCTTGTACGTTATTACTTATAAATCTATTGGTATAGAGGAAGGAATTCATTGTAGAAGGGAGGGAGTACTTGAGAAACCCATACCTGGCCTTGCCAGGTAAAGAGACATTCTGCACGTTGCCCTGCCATAGAGCTGCTCTGAATGAACCCTTTCATTACTGGGGTTGAGGCCAGGATCTACAAGGAAAATGGAATTCTTCGCTAGGTGTATTTTAACGGCTTGCTAAAATAGACATGCTGTATTTGCCTTGTCTGCTGCACTGCCTCATCACCTAGTAGCAGGATTTGGAAGGGGAGTAAGGCTCTGTTCCTTCACTTGTATGGCAAGTTGCATCAAACTTCCCCATAAACCCTCACTGTCTTTAGAGTCCTGTGCCCCAGGCCTGCCCCCAAGCTAGCCTTCGTCTCTTCCTGCAGTGACTAGGGGCTGTACTTTTTGTGAGCTAGATTCTGCACTTATAGCTGTGCTGACTGGTTTCTTCATTGGTGTAGGCCTATTTAAAAAAAAAAAAAACAAACAAAAACCGGAGATTTTTTCTATTTAATATTACATGAAAGTTCAAGACACATCCCTTTGGTTTTTCAGGTTAAGTTCTCAGCATTGGCCCCACACACTAGCTTTCTGCTTCCACACATGTGGAACATAGGCTGGAGTAGAAGAATGCTGCTTGAAGCTGTGCTGTATAAACTGTGCAAGATGCTAAATTGCATTAAACTACTTTTCTTCTTCAGGAGATCAGCTCTTCATGTTTTTTGTTTATTATATATCTTACAAAGTCCTGGTTTTGTTCTTTATTTGAAGCATAGAGAGTTTACATAAAGGAGAAGCATTTTTTTCCCCATTTATTTCTTCCTGATGCAATATGTCCAGCATTTTTTTCCTTCAAACAAACACAACAATTGAAAAGATACCAGGTTTTCAGTAAGATAGAATTAAATCCTATATAGGGATCCTTAGTGGTTAAAAGATGGTCTTGAAGAACTCTCTCTCCTTCAAGATAGAAACAAACTTGATTGTCTGCCAGTCTTCTGCTTGTCACCTCTGTCCTTCTGCTTGTTGTCTGGGGTAGACACATACAGTCAGTGTGTTTTGTTTTTCAGAAGTTGATCTGCCTCTGAAAAAAGATGGGTTCACCTCAGAAAGTACAACTCTGGAAGCCTTGCTTCGTGGAGAGGGAATAGAGAAAAAAACAGACACTAAAGAGGAAGACACTATACAGGAAATTCAGGTAAAGGAGAGACCCGTGCCCTGACAGCAGGGCTGGTTTTTACAATTTGTCTCTAAGCCTAGCAGATTTTGTTCTTTGGCATAACAGTACATCTGTTGATAGTTATGTGATTCTACTGTTGAAATGTTATCAAACCATTGTGCTACAGTGTGATGCTCAAAATGAACTTGGGATCTCACACACTTCTCCTGTCGCAGGAATCTTGGTCATTTGCCTGTGTTCTTCACAGCTTCTGTGTTGGAATTTGTTTTGCAGCCCTGTGAGATGATCATATACAAAGCTGTCAAGCAGAGATGGATCCCAGCTTTAAACTGAATTTTAGTGCCTCATACTTAAAGTTAATTTGGACATGGATTTGAATTTGGATTCACAGCTGCTGACTGCAGACAAAAGCACGTTGTTGCCTTTCCTGTTTGGTGGGGTTTTTTTTGTTTTGTGGGTTTTTGTTTTTGTTTTTTACATTGAGAAGCCTTCAAGAAGTATAAAAGCAAAATAAATAATTAAAATATTCTAATCTTCATTATCTCAGTTATTATTAGTGAAGAAAATATGAGAAATATTGGCTCTTCACATGCATTATTGTTTGAAGTTATTTGTCAAGATTCCATTTCATTCTTTAACAATTAAAAGTAGAAACACATTTGTGGGTCTGTCATAGAAGGAATCCAGCTAATAAAAGTCATTCTTATACAAGTGCATGTCACTTTATAAAGACATCTTAAATCGCTAGGGAAGTGAGCCTCTCCCAGGGGAGCAGCAGCACATCTTTGGTGATGCTAAAACACCATTGTGCTATTACTCTCTTAGTGATTTTTAGTGAGGGCCATTGGTAATGTGTCAAACTTGGTCCTTTTGGCTAAGATACAGCATGTTGCATTTATACCTAAAACTAGGAAAAATTTGAGGGGGCAGCCCCATGATAAATGGACCAGAAGAGCATGGGCATCAAATCTATATTACTTGAAGCTCAGTCCTACCAGTCTACTTGCTAGAAATTTCACGTATGTAAGGGCAGCAAAATTAGGTCTCACGCTCCCAAATAGGTTTAGGAGAACCATCCAGAGGAAGCATCCCATGCTCATGGAGTGGGGAAAAGCTTGGTATGAGGCCCGCTCTGTGTTTCCTTCTTCAGTAGTGTATCTTGGTCTATTAAGCTGAGACCCCCAAAGCTCTGTTTATACCTGCTTCTGAAGTCATGCTGCAGCATCCTTATAACATCAGCAAGTGCCATTGAATGTTGCTGTGTGATCTGAGCTCCCAAATTATTCCCAGCAGCAGTCCAAGGAAAGAGACTTTGGAGATGGTGGAACTGACACAAGTCTGGGCATTGCAGAGCAGGGAGGGGGTGCAAAAATATACAAAAAACTTTCAGCTAAACTGCTGTAGTTGTGACCTGTCACCCGGATGCTAGTTTCATCAGAACAGATGCAAAAGCCATGTCTTACTGCTGTTTCTTAGGCAAGCACAGCTTATCAGGATTCAGTCTATGCAACTATTGCTGAAGCCTTTACTAGTAGCCAGCCTTCAGTGTGGACTTTGGCACCTGGCAGCTAGACTGTACCAGGTCAAAATCATAATCAGCGCTTTTTATCCATATGACAAATAAGAGAATGCAAATCTCTCTTCTGTTCCTTTGCATGCTCTTCTGTGCTGTAACTTGAAAGGACCCAGCCTCAGTGGTGGTGAGAGTGAGCAGGTGGGATAGGCATAGTTGTAATTCCCACCTCAGTCCCAGCTACTTACTACCTTCTCAAACTCAGTATCTGTCAGGAGAAGATGATTTGGTGCTTAGCTGCACTGGAGTACATTGGGCTGGGAAACTATTTTAGAAAGAGAGAATAGAAAAGAAAAGTTACTCTGGTAGGAAGGGTAAGGGTTCCTCCTGCTAAAGAGATGCAGTCATTGGGAGCTGCTGTACAGTCGGTATTTAACAGGGTTGAGGATTTTGCCCTACAGTAAATTGGTATTGAATGTGTGTCTCCATTGTTTGCTGGAGAAGGCTTAGAACAGCCTTTTGACTGTGCATCAGAAAGCTATGTGCCTTCTATCAAGGATTAAAGTCATTACCCTGGCAGTGTTACCAAAGTCACGCTTGGTAACTTATTATGTCTTTCCTAAATTGATGCTACAATTTTAAACAAAGAAAGTGGTTAAGAGTATTGCTCCTAACTGCTCTTGTGCAGTATTATTGTGGTAAACTAGCTCCTTTCCCACCCCATACAATATGGTTGCAGCCTTCTCTTTTTTTGGAGATATTTTAAGAAATTAAGCAATGTGAAAATATAAACTTATATCAGTAAGTTTGCTTATTTTCTTACATACCACTAGTCTCCTCATGTACAACATTATCTGAATGCTTTAGTTTCCTAAGATGAAGTCATTTAATGTATGCAATTGCATGAACTTTGAAGAAACATTTTATGTATGCAGAACTGGAACTTGCTTAACTTTTGCTCTAGTATTTAGTACTCTAGTGTTATACGAAATCGTATTTCATGATGGTCTGACCTCATTAATAGCCTCCTGAGATTTAAAAGACCAAAAACCAGATAAAGACTTGATCCTCTACAATGATCTAAAAATTGTTTGCACTTTTTAAAAGGGACACTGTCCAATATTAGTCTTAAAAATTTAGCTGATAAAATAAGAATAAACTTGTATATCCAAATGCAGGCTTTTTTAAAAGTGAAATTTCTGTTGTATTCTTTCCCACAAATGCAGAATTTGGTGCTTGAGGTAAGTAGGAAAGAGAGAAAGCAACTGTGATTTGCTCCTGTTCTCCCTCTGCTGGCTCTCAAATAGCTGTTAAGTAGAAATTATAGGGAAGGAACAAATACAGTAAGACTGAAAAACCTCTCCATCAGTTTAATGTCACTACTTTGAATCTGCATCATGCCTGCATGTTACAATTTAAATGAGTGGTGGCATGCCAAAGATAAGTTAGTGATTCTAGATTAGTCTCTTATGAAATGGCACTGCGCTGTGAATGGCAGGAGTGAATAGGGCCCATTTCTGTATTTCTGTCAGACATGCCAAGTGTTGATGGGACTTCAATGGGACTTCTCTCCATGTTAGTCTTGTGATGGTTTGTCTTGCCTTTGTCTGTACAATGTCCGACTTGTGCATGTTTTCCGGGCAGCCAGCCTGTGTTTGATTCTATAATGATTACATTTCAAAAGATCAAGATAAAAGGATTGAAATTCCCTGGCCTGGGCATCTCAGAGTTACCTGAGATAATGAACTATTATTCCTATTAAATAATTAATTGAAGGAACTATTGCTGTTGTCCCTATTAACTTCAATGAGACCTGTACTTCCTCAGCATTCTCATGCAGCAAGACCCTTGCTTCTAGATTCCAGAGTTGTACCTGTGGTATAAGCCCTGAAATATGTTACTTTCTAGATCCACCAAACTTGCTGGTATATATGGAGGAATTTTCTCTATTTTTGCTAAAAAAGAAAATTGTGAGCTACCAAGGAGAAAAACACTGATTTCTCTCTCCTTAAAGTGTATTCTCAACATCAGGGGAAAACAAAACAATTTAAGGTGCAAGAAACCAAAATAAAAACATCATGCAAACAAATTTCCCAGACAGGGCCTGTTGTTATGCATAAAAATACTTGTGTTGTCTTGGGATATCAATGCTCAGTGATGCCACCATTATTTCTTAGGAACCTTTTTTTCATAGATGACTGATATCAGTGGTATTTTTAAATAAGAACTACCTGGAGAACAAGGGTGGAAGGGAAAGCAAATTCTGTTTTAGTGGAAAGTACTAGGGGTTTTGGGATCTGATTTGGCATTATATCATTAATCAACTGTAATTTAATAACCTGCAGTCACTGTGGTAAAGAGCAGCAGTTGGTTGTATGTGTCATCTTTTCTTCTAACCATTCCTGTTTATTGTTCAACCACAGAGGGTTTTAGAAAATGATGACAATGCAGATGAAGTGAATGAGGAAGAGGATTTGGAAGAAGATATTCCAAAACGAAAGAACAGGCCTAGAGGACGGGTAGGTGGAGAGTTTACTGGAATGGAAAGGAAGGAAGCAAACCTTTGCTTTCTAGTTTATATTTGTCACGTGTATTGTATATGCAAAGTGTATATCCATAGATATATGATAATGATAACTCTGTAGGTAATTTTTAGTCATATGGTCAGAAATTTTTAATATTTTTTCAGTTTATTTTTGTGAATTACCAAGAAAAAAAGACTATTTTTAGAGTTAAAATTGGTGGTAAATTTGTTATAGTGTTGTATTTACAATTGTAATGTAAATTGTAATAATGATGACAACATCCTGCTATTACAATACTCTTACTTTAAAACATTTACTAATTACAGAAAGCAACAACAAATTCAGTCATGACAGCTAAAAAAAATATTAATAGAAGTAACTTGAACTGTGTCAATAAGTTTTGCAGCTTTCTCCAGGGTAGTACTTTGTGGCTGACACTGGCCCTCTTGAGGCCATGGCAAATCTTCAATTTGCTTAAAATGGGCAATATTTTATCCTTAGTGGAGTCTTCTCTTACCTAAGATGTCTTTTCACAATTTAAGCAGAACACCAGTTAAGTAATGAGGCCAACATTTTAAAACTTGGAATCAACATTTTCAGTTGTGGCCCAGTAAGCTAGGCATCTAAATAAACATGAAGACAATTCTCAGAGGTTTTGAGCATTTTCATCTCTCTTTGGCTCCAGTGGATGCTGCAGGGGCACAGGAGCTCTGGAAGTACCTTTTGAAGTTTTTGTTGGAGTCAAGCAAGAAGGGCCACATTTTAGGCCAAATGAGCAGGATATAATAGCTTTTGAATATGAAAGAGACATGAAACCACACTGAATACTTGCTATGTACTTATGCATCAGACCCTCTCTTTTGGTTTCTTCTGTTGTTGTGTTGTTTCAGTTTTCTGCTCCTCTTTATTTTGGAGCTTAAGTCCTTTAATATAAGATCAAAGCACTTTAATAACTGGATAAGTATTTATTTCACCTTCCTTATTCTCAAAATCACCTGAACCAGTTTCTTTCTTTCTTTCTTTCTTAGCCAAAGACTCCCACCTGGAAAAAAATTTTCCAGAAAAATGTAAGTTTCAGAAAATTTGTATGAACCAATAACCAAAACCAGGAGTTAGATTCGATTAATGCACACAAGCTTGACTGTAGCAATCAACTAACATTCCAGGCTAACAACTCTTTTCTAATAAGTTGCTCTCACATAATTTGCGCATGCTGGTTAGGGTGAGTGAAAGGGAGTGAATAGCTGAAAGAGAGGTACTGCTCAGGAGAAGGGAATTTGCTGTATTCATATATCCCAGGCCTACACAAACAAAATCCTGAAGTTACTGTTATGTGAAAAGTTTTACTCCCCTGTTCAGGAAACTGTTTCAG